ACACACACACACACACACACACACACACACACACACAAAGCTTCAGCCTCAGGAAACAGGACGGATCAGAGGCAGGTGCAGATGGGAGGAGTACCTGACAGGAGCTCTGGTCGTCAGAGAAGGTGTAGGTGTCGTCGTCTCTTCCTGAGCCGTAACAAACACTGATTCTGTGCAGCTCGCCTGCAGCAACACAACCAACACCACACACGGCCTCACACAGGACCTGCACCGACACAAACCTTAACACAAAGCATCGTCTGTGGAAACTCACTGCTGTACTGCTGCTCCGGCTCGGCCTGGCTGTGACCCGCAGCTTCCTGGGCTCCCTCTGGGTTTTCAGAGAGGGGGTCACAGTCGGCCTCTGCAGGCTCCTCAAGCTGGTCCGACAGGTTGTCCAGCCCGTCCACATCTGGGGACAGGGGCCGGCAGTGGTCCGGGATGTTCTCCTCTGACTGCGGTTCTATAGCAGAACCCGGGGCCAGTGTCGGGTCGAGGTACAGAGGGTTCTTCTCATACACTGGACCCTCCAGGCCCGGGAAGCAGATGACTGCCAGGTACCAGTGAGCCCTGTCCAGAGAGAGGACTAGCCTTTAGCTCATCAGTCTGTCAGAGACAGCTGGAACAGGTACGATGCTACAACTTCCTGTTTTACTTACGACTCGTTGATGGGAACAAAGATAAAGTCCTTCTGGAACAGGTCCACGTGTCGAGTCCAGGTCTTCACCCTGTTGTGTTTCCTCTTCTGGATTCTGCACAAGAGAGAACATTTAGTAAAAACACACTTCTAGTTTGTTGTGGTCTACTGTGGTATACTGTGGTCTGTTGTGGTCTACTGTGGTCTGTTGTGGTCTACTGTGGTCTGTTGTGGTCTACTGTGGTATACTGTGGTCTGTTGTGGATCTGTTGTGGTCTACTGTGGTCTGTTGTGGTCTGTTGTGGTCTACTGTGGTCTACTGTGGTCTACCGTGGTCTACTGTAGTCTGTTGTGATCTACTGTAGTCTGTTGTGATCTACTGTGGTCTGTTGTGATCTACTGTGGTCTGTTGTGGGTTTGTTATGGTCTACTGTGGTCTACCGTGGTCTGTTGTGGTCTACTGTAGTCTGTTGTGATCTACTGTGGTCTGTTGTGGGTTTGTTATGGTCTACTGTGGTCTATTGTGGTCTACTGTGGTCTGTTGTGGGTTTGTTGTGGTCTACTGTGGTCTGTTGTGATCTACTGTGATCTGTTGTGGTCTACTGTGGTCTGTTGTGATCTACTGTGATCTGTTGTGGTCTACTGTGGTCTGTTGTGGTCTACTGTGGTCTGTTGTGGTCTACTGTGGTCTGTTGTGGTCTACTGTGGTCTGTTGTGGTCTACTGTGGTCTGTTGTGGGTCTGTTGTGGTCTACTGTGGTCTGTTGTGGGTTTGTTGTGGTTTACTGTAGTCTGTTGTGGTCTATGTGGTCTGTTGTGGTCTACTGTGATCTGTTGTGGGTTTGTTGTGGTCTACTGTGGTTTACTGTAGTCTGTTGTGGGTTTGTTGTGGTCTACTGTGGTTTACTGTAGTCTGTTGTGGGTTTGTTGTGGTCTACTGTGGTCTGTTGTGGGTCTGTTGTGGTCTGCTGTGGTCTACTGTGGTCTGCTGTGGTCTACTGTGGTCTGGTGTGGTCTACTCTGGTCTGCTGTGGTCTACTCTGGTCTGCTGTGGTCTGTTATGGGTCTGCTGTGGTCTGCTGTGGTCTGCAGTGGTCTACTCTGGTCTGCTGTGGTCTACAGTGGTCTACAGTGGTCTGTTGTGGTCTGCTGTGGTCTGCTGTGGTCTGCTGTGGTCTACTCTGGTCTGCTGTGGTCTGCTGTGGTCTACTCTGGTCTGCTGTGGTCTGCTGTGGTCTACTCTGGTCTGCTGTGGTCTACTCTGGTCTGCTGTGGTCTGTTATGGGTCTGTTATGGGTCTGCTGTGGTCTACTCTTGTCTGCTGTGGTCTGTTGTGGTCTACTCTTGTCTGCTGTGGTCTGCTGTGGTCTGTTATGGGTCTGCTGTGGTCTGCTGTGGTCTGTTATGGGTCTGCTGTTGTCTGCTGTGGTCTACTCTTGTCTGCTGTGGTCTGTTGTGGTCTGCTGGCACGTACGGCACGCTGGTGGTGTCTGAGCCATTTCTGCGCTCTCTCTGGTTCAGTCTCTTGTAGAAAAAGGAGCTGAACACGTGGATTCTTTGTGCATCTTCTTTTTTCAACTTTTCCAAAACTAAATATCTAAAAGTACAGAAAGATTGTCGTGTTTTAAATCTACAATCTATTTTATTGGGAGGAAAAATCAGCCAGAAATTTCAAATACTCACTTTAAATAAAAGTCTATGATAACGTCGTTAAGGAATTCTCCATCATTAAGGCAGTGAAGGTCTTCATTAGTGACTGTAATCCCACCTTTGGCCGGAGGCGGGGGATACACCATTAACCTGGGAGACAGCAATAAGTTCTTCTACGTGTTCTGCTCAGCTTCCCACAGACGTTAGTCATTTCTAACCACAGGCTAGAGAACAGTTAAATAACAGTGCTAAAAGAGTCACCCACTTGATAACAGGTCCAGAGAAGGTGGGCTGCAGGTCCGTCATGTCCTCGTCATCGTCGTTAAAGAAGGTGCTGGTCTGCTGCCGAGTGGCCATGCGTGTGCGTGTCGACATGAGGGCGGCGGCTCCCGCAGAAATCTTGGAGGTGTTTTGAGCCGGCTTTGTCTGCAAAGCAGAACCAGAATTAAATGGAAAGTTTACTTCCATAGAAAATCAAGTCTCAAGCTGTCAAAACAGAAAAAACACTGCAGAAAAAATGACCTCATTAGAAAATCAGATTAGAAAGATGGATCTGATTTAACAGAAATATGACCTGCAGCATCAGGACCATCTTTAGAATCACAACAACAAGTCATAAAGAAAAATCAGTAGGTCCTCTGGATGAGTTCTTCTTTAGTGAAACGTTTCGTCTCTCCTCCAAGAGACTTCTTCAGTCTGATGAGTTTCAGGTGAACTCAGCCTTATAAGCTCCGCCTCCACATGGACAAACAGGTTAGTCACATGCAACAGAGGGCCACTGACTAACAATAGGCTTGATTGGCTCTATTGTTCATAGAGGGTCATGTGCCCCATCACCTGACCCGTGTCATGTTATGTGTATGTAGTCTATGCAAGCGGGTGTTCAAAGTCCCCTTGTTTTTGTCCCTCTCTCCCTCTTTGTGTTGGTATCATTGGGGCCCTGATTCACACCTTTTGCTCACAGGGGGCGGAGTCATACTTATAATAACAGCGTTGTAGGAGGAGGACAACTGGACACAAAGGCCTCCACCTCTGTTTAACGGTGGACGGTTTTTCTTCACAAAGATGGCTTCCTTTACTCCTCTCTCAAACCAATGTTCCTCTCCATCAAGGATGARAACATCTTCATCCCTGAAAGAGTGACCGCTGGCCTGTAAATGAGTGTAAGCTGCAGAGTCCTGACCAGATGACGTAGCTCGTCTGTGCTGGCTCATTCTAAATAGACTAAATAGAACTATTGTTAGTCAGTGGCCCTCTTTTGATTGTGACTAACCTGTTTGTCCATGTGGAGGCAGTGCTTATAAGGCTGAGTTCACCTGAAACTCATCCGACTGAAGAAGTCTCTTGGAAGAGAGACGAAACGTTTCACTAAATAAGAACTCGTCCAGAGGACCTACTTATTTTTTCTTTTTGATTTTTTCTACCTGGTTTACTGAGATACATCAGGACAACAACAACAAGTGTTAGCATCGGACTGAAAATAAGGTGAGCAGAGCTAAGCTAAGCTAAACTTAAGTAAGATAGGCTAAAATAAAAAAGATTAGTAATGGTCAGCAAAACCAAATCATCTTAAAAATCCTTTTAGACAAAATCAACTAAACTAAGCAGTGTTCAACTAAATTAACTTAGTAAAGTTAAGATACACTAAAACAATTTCTTAAAGGCGACCTATTATGAGGGTCCTAGCACAAGTTAGGATCCATCTGTGGGCTATACATGTTCATTTGATTTAATTCACAAAAAGAATCTTAAATAATGTAATTTCATCTTTTAAGTTCGGCCTGTACTTCAGCTCTCTCCAGATCGTGCTGTATGCAGAAGTTGCTATGGAAACCCCCCTTCCAACCGTTTGTTTACATTAGCTCCGCCCCCCGACATGGTAGAAGTTTCCAAAGTGAAATTATTTTCACAAACTACAGCTTTCTTTGGCAATTTTGTTAGAACATTGTCATCAAAGATAAAAATAAAATTAATCCTGGCATCTCTGTTCTCCGTGGCTGCTGTTAAAACAGCACAACTATCGTCCAGGGTGAAGAAGTGGGCGGAGCTTCACCTCAGGTTGCCTCGTGAGGAGCAGGACTCTGGTTTAGGTTGCTAGGTGACTGTTATTGTGATGTCAGAATAACGTGCTTTGAGAAATACCATGTTTCCACAGCTAAAAAAATGGCTGGGTGCATTTTTTTGGTGTTTGGACTGCTTCTCTGAGCAGTAGAGACACAACAGTAAGTTTAAAAACATGAAAAAAGTGAGTTTTGTGTAATAGGTGCCCTTTAAAGAAATCACATTCAACTGATGAATCTTTTTCTAAATAAAATGCCAGCACAAACATAGATTTAAATTTCCTCCCACCTTCTCCCACTTGTGTGAGGACGACTTGTTGTAGTTGACCAGGCGGATGTTGGCCTCGTCGAAGGTCAGCTTGGTGGGGAAGTCGCTCAGGTTGTTGGTCCTGCCGATGAGCTGCAGGATTTCCTCCAGGATCACCTGTTCTTTCATCACCAGGCCGTTCTCTAAGATGAGAACGATGTACTTCTCATCCATCTCAGCTGCCAAAAACAAGCAGACACTAATTATTGAAATGCTGCTGCTGGTCCTGTGGAACACATCAGACTGGAACCATTGATATATATCACTGGATTGGGCGTCACGTGACCTGGGCCTGGCTTCGCAAGGGGGATTTTTATGCATTGAGCTAATGCTAACCATTGAAATCAATGAGCAGAACGTAGCACGGTGCTAGCAAACGCTTTATCAACATACAAATGGTACAAATACTTTGATATAAACTGCAGAAATTGTTACATGTTTACAAGAGGGTTACGTTTCACAGGTACCGTAAATATTACGCATATTTAACAAACATTAATTATTTTAATTGTAAAACCTGTATGCTAACATTAAACAGCCTCAATTTTCATGTTTAACCTTATTTAAAATCGATTTTATCTGTTGTCAAATATATTATTTACTGATATTAAACATGTAAATATGGACTTTATTGGATTGTTGACTAGTTAGACTGCATATAAATACAGAAATTATGATGTAGACTCACTAATGACAGACACTAATGTAATGATTGAGAATCATAAACAAAATAGTCACGTTGTCAGACAAGCCGGTTCATTCAGATATTTTCTACATCCAGTATTTGTGTTTTTCAACATTTCCAGAGAAAAAGGAGGAAAAAACATGTGTGCCAGCTGTGAGTTGGCTTCAGATAAAGCTTGTATCATTGTGAAACTGAAGAATAATTCTTTGTGATAAAAATAAATTCATTTAACAATTCTTTGTGACATAAAATAATTTGTATTTTTAGTTTATTTTTACTGATGTTAAACTTATTGTAGTTTATAGCAAAAACTTTTATAGTTTTGTGTATATATATATATATACA